TCCATCCATTCATCATTCCATCCATCCATCATTCCATCAATCCATTGTTTATCCATCTTTCCATCCATCCATTCATCATTCATCCATCTGTCCATCTATTCATCCTTTATTCCATCTGTCATTCCATTTATCCCTCCATCCATCCATCTATCCATATCCTTCCATTCATCCTTCCCTTCCTTCTATCCTTTCGTTCATCCATTTATCTATTATTTCATCCATCCATTCATCCATATCCTTCCATTTATCCATCCTTCCATCTGTCCATCCATCCATCTATGCATCCATTCATCCATCCTTCAATTCATCTTTCCATCCATCCCTCCATTCATCCATCTAGCCAGTCAGGCACTCATCCTTCCTTCTTTTCTTCTTGCCATCTATACAACCATCCACCCACCCACTCAGCCGCCTATGCATCTTTCCTGCAACAAAGTAGTGTAGTGAAAACAACTGAGTAATATGATGTCAGGAGCCAAGGATTAAAATACAGCACTAGTATGTAATTAGTGAAGTTTAATGACAACTAACTTCTCTTTGCTTTAGGCTCCTCATTTTAAAACCTATTTTATATAAGAATATCTACTTAAATGCACTGTAGAGGGAATGAAGTGAGAGAATATTAATATGAATAATACTTCATTATGATGTACTAACTGCCTACTTTCTAAGGCACAATACTTAGAATTGGGCAATAATTGTTTCATTTAATGTTACAGTAACTAGAGGATATAAATTTAATAGTCTCTCATTCTGTAAATAAAGATAGCTAGGCTTAGAGCATCGAGTCATCTGCCCAATGTCCGAGTCCTGACATAGCAAGAAAAAAAATCACAATTCTAACGAGAGAAATCCTGAGCCCACTTTCTACCACCCACTGTATCAGTTCTCTCTTCGTCTAAGCTCATGTGAAAAGTGCTTTACTAAATTGCTGTATAAATGATAGTTATATCTGTTCATCTCCCTGCTCCCTCTTTCTCACTAGACACTAATATTTATTAATGTATTATCTATCTATGAATGATACAACTGAAATGTATATAATTATATACATTATACAAATGCTTTACAAGCTTGTTCTGTTTTCTTCTCTTTTAATACATGTAATTAATACTCAAGTATTTTTGTTCCTTTTTTTTCTTTCAGCATTTGGTCAGAACGAGTGCCATGATCCTGGCATTCCTATAAACGGGCGGCGCTTTGGTGACAGGTTTCTACTCGGGAGCTCGGTTTCTTTCCACTGTGACGATGGGTTTGTCAAGACCCAGGGATCCGAGTCCATCACCTGCATCCTACAAGACGGGAACGTGGTCTGGAGCTCCACTGTGCCCCGCTGTGAAGGTGCAGTCCCTGCCACCACCCACTCTTCTCCTTTGAAGTCACACATCTATCTTCAGGCATACACACACAAACCAACAAACCGCGCTAGCTTGCTAGGGCTGTCCTAACAAAATACCACACACAGTCGCTGAAACAATGGGAACGTACAGTTTCCCAGTTCTGGAGGCTGGAAGTCTGAGATCCAGGTGACATCGGTGGGAGAGTTCCTTCTGTGACTGTGAGGGAGGATCTGCCCCAGGCTGGTCCTCCAGCTCCCGGCGGTTTGTGGCAATCTCTGGCATTCTGTGGCTGGAGAAGCCTCACCCTCATCTCTGCCTCCAGACTCACAAGGAGCTCTCCCTGTGTGTGTGTTTCTGTCCCTGTGTCTAAATTCTCCTTGTTAAAAGGACACAGTCATATTGGATTGAGGTCCCCCTATTCCAGCAACACCTTATCCTAACTAAATTCATCTGCAAGGACTGTATCTTCAAATACAGTCACCATCCGAGGCGCTGAGGGTTAGGACCTCAATGTATGAACTTTGAGGGGACGAAATTCAACCTATAACAGTGTTGCTTGGAGTTAACTATTTTGTTGTTCTCATTACAGCTGTCGTAAATACCACCTAATTTTCTTCTTCGTATTTCTGTTCTGGTTACTTATCTAATAAATATAGAGAGGAAAATATTTTAAGGAAAAAGATGTTGCCTCTGGTAATTACTCATTTTAAAAGTGTTTACTTAGAGTATATGTTCACATTCCATATCAGAATAGTCAGTGCACAATAACCTAAGAAAATATTTTTTAAAAAACTTACCTCCAGTATATATCAAAGAAGTACAAATTTAAAAAGAAAAGTAAAATACCATTTTTGCTTATCTTATTAGCATAGATTTAAACAGGTGAATAAGATGTGTTATTGAAAAGGTTATGTAGAAACTGGCATTTCGTAGTCATGCTATAGATGATATAAAATCACAGTATTGTAGTGAAAATTCTTAGTAGGACTGTTAAAATTGTTCTTGTCTTTTGAGTCATAAATTATATTCCTGGATCAATATCATAAAGAAATAGTGAAGCAACTATACAAATTCTTTCAAGAATGTTTTCTGCAAGACTATTTATAGCAGTGAAGAGCTGGAAATGATTCAGCTTTAAACAGCAGAGGATTGGTTAGATAAATCATGAAGAATAATAGGTGTCAATATGAAGATCATAAGATCAAAGAGTCTCAGGTATCCTTAGCATGAGAAAGACCAAAGGATGGAGGTCCATGTGTCACAAATACATACGTATCTCATGATGATCATTTTGTAAAACACTAAAAAGAAGGCTATACACCAAAATGTTAATTATGGTTACGGGTGATTTTTCCCTCTTAGTTTATTTTTATTTTCTTAGTTGTCTTTGTCAACATGTATTTATTTTAAGTGACTAGAAAAGGAATATGTATTAAATATCACATACAGTTGAGAATTTCTCCCCTGTCTCAAATACCTCGAAATGACATTCTCAGACCCATAATCTCTATCAAGGAGTCTAAGCAGAGCTGGGATCTAGGTGTGGAGCATTAAACTCCTCCATGACAACCACAGTATAATGGGGCTATGATCCTTCACCACCTCATCCTGCCCTGGCCCACCTCCAAAGTTACTCACCATTACTCAAAGTAGAAATGCTGCTGGTTTTTTGTTTTTTTTTTTTTTGAGACAGAGTCTGGCTCTGTCGCTCAGGCTGGAGTGCAGTGGTGCAATCTCAGCTCACTGTAACCTCCGCCTCC